ACATCGGATTTTCTAACTCGGTATCACAGTGACGATGGAGTATTCCCGAAGGCAAAGGGTGCAGGGATAATGAGTAGATTCACGTGCGTCACTTTTTACGACACTCAGCCGGTATCTCCATTGGTGACATTATTTGATTTAGCATGAAAAGCTGCAATTACCACTGAGGTGTTAACTTGAGCGAATCTCTGTGGTCAATCGCCTCAAGAATTAATAAAAATGTTTTCTGATATTCTTTGATAAAATTTTGATCTTATATTTTTCTATTTCCTTCTAGATGGAGATATCACAATTGTTCTGTAATATCCCACCTCCGGAATCATTGCTTCCGGCACGATCTAACACATCAAATTGTTCGGACCTGGAGCTTCAAGAGATCACCGAGTTTCCGTTTGACTCACCCGAACCACCCCAGTTTATGGCATTGTCACCGACCATCTCGAAATTGGATCATCAGGAAGTTGTTGAAACACTTCCATTCCTGGATTCCGTGCTCGAACACAGTGCGTTTGTTTATTCATCATCATTATCAAAATTATTTAAGAAATTTTCCTAATAGTCTCTATTCCGTCGTTGTTGTTGTTGTTGTTCCATGCTTACCGTTTTCACATGTTTAGTGGCATCGTCAGGCCGCTACAGAAGCTGCATTCCTCTAGTAACAACTGTTTGTCGAATCTTCTATCAGATGCCCCCATGTGGATGGGTAACAAAGGCGTGAATCTAACTCCCGTTGCTTGCGGTTCTATGGGTCCACTATTTTCACACGGACGCCGATTCAACAGATCCGTTCTTGTCCACATTTTGACAATCGACATGAACCACTCATCGTTCACCTTAACGTACCTGCGTCTCAACAAAAACTGATTGACATGAATTTCGCCTGTCTTTCTGTTGTTAATCGTGCATAGATGCATTCCACAGAGAAGTGATGCCTGGAATGTCTAATTTCCATGTTGAATCGCATGGGATATTCATATACGGTTGTCCAGCATGAAAATCGAATATTCTTCTGCTAAACCCTAATAAAACTCCCATTCGGCTCAGAGCAAACCATTTTGGTCTTTACATCTAATCAATCTGCAACTAGACCATAGACCGGTTTCAGATTATGTTTTCTGTGCATCACGGAGTACCGGTGAGTTCGATAACAAATTGAAGCGCAGTTGAAACGTAAATCAAGAATGTGGAAAACATGGTGCAGTGGTTAATACGCATCCATCAACCTCTGAGTTTCAAAACTGTGTACTGAATATTGGTCTGATTATAACCATACCAGTCACAGTTTTCTCTCTCTTGCGCGCGCTAGTGTTTGTCTGTACCTTAAATGCGTCATGATTGTTGTTGTATACTTTTGACAGTGATTGTCCTCAAGTTTTGATACCAGCTCCATTCTTTACTCC